GACACATCGGCCCGTGTGTGTTCACCGTCAACATACTAGTACCTTTACTGCTTTCTCACCTAGGGTAAATTAGTAATCTGGAATGCTAAGTGGTTCTAAAAAACGCATCTATTTATTTTCTGTATTCAGAACATAACTTGTTTTAACAAAACTAATTAAAATTTTCATTCTAAATAAATCAATTATCTCGAAAGAATAAGCAATTCATAATGGCAGTATCGGTCATGGCTTTATTTTGTTTAATATAGGGTCATTACATAATGAAACAATGCTATGAAAACAGTGGACAGTGATCAAGTATTATTGCAAGTGTCAATGAGTTAGCGCCGATCCTCAATCTGGCATTTGGCGCATACGGTTTGCAGAAACGAGTAGCCATATGGTGCTGACAACTCCGGAGGGTAAACAGAAATTGCCAGCGATGGCTTGTTGCAAAATTCTGTAGTGTGTCAGCATAGATTGCAGCCTGGAAGGGTCTCTAAAGCCATGACGAAGGACGATGTTGCACTGGAATCAGAAATGATAACAGCAGAAACACAGAAGAAAACTAACAAAACTTGAATGCACAAGATTTATGCCCTAGCATGCCTAAGATAGAAAGACTATATGTATGTATATTATTTATGTAACCAGGTTTTAGGGATGATTGCTGAAAAACTATGCAAATTTGATGAAGAATAAAAATGTAATTAAATGGTAAGGGTGGTAATACAGTACCCGCATCGTTATTTTTTACAGGATACACGATACGATAGGATACACGCACGATACGATAGGATACACGCACGAGAGGACAGGATACACGCACGATAGGATAAACGCAAAACACGATAAACGCAAAACACGATACACGCAAAACACGATAAACGCAAAACACGATAGACCTGATAAACGATCTACACGATAGGATAAACGCAAAACCTGATAGGATTGTTTCAAAATGCGGAACGTTTTTTGACAAGACGAAAAGATTATTTTGTATTAAATTTAAAGATTAAAGATTATTTAAATTAAATTATATTTTGATTTAAATACTCGCAGGGCTTCAAATCTAAACTATAAAGTACATTTAATAATTATAAAAAGAACCTGAGATCTCTAGATCTGTATTAATTTTAGAAAAGTTGTTTTGGTATTTATATAAAAATTGACAGTGATTAAATGGAATTTTATAAAATAGAGACTGTATTTTTTTTTAATTCCTTCTCAAGTGTGTGACTTTTGAAACTCTATAAACAGATTTATTATTAATGAAAAATATACATTTTAATTTTCTATCTAATAAATTTATCTACAAGTAACAAGTTATTTCACGGAAGAAATTTACGCAATAATATAATATTTGTATTTAATCTCTAAAGCTTACAATCTGCCGTGTATCCAAAAATCGCAATTAAATATTATAATATCTTAGAAAATGATACAAGTAGAAGACTGGCCGAAAGAAAGGTTGAAAGAAAACGGCTTTAACAAAATTAATAAATTTAACATGATATATCTATCAAGAACGAAACAGTTCAAGAAAATTAAATTTTCTGAATAGAAATCTAAATAATTATTAAAATAACGGCGATCTGCAATAATACATGTAAACTGTGTCATAAGAATATGAATCTGCTACAACTGCACAAAAAGATACATTTCAATATCCTGCATGCTTATTATTTATTTATTTGCTTTTTGTCTACGCGAACATTGTAGCTTACCAAAAATCTTTCTCCGGTAACTCCGATTCATTTTAGAAAATCATATTTAATAGTACTTAATTTTGACAAAATAAATCATTCAATTCTATAAATTATTTTTTAAAGATCTGAAATAGACCAGTTGATCGACCGAATTTCATTTCCGGTTACTGTTTAAATTTTGACAATTACTCTCTGCTTTACCATGATATATTTATTTTATTTATCTAATTTATTTAATCATTTATGAATAAATCCATTTATTCATTCATGAAATACGCGATTAATTATTTTTTCCTTCTACACTTTAATAAAATTTTTTATTTTGATGAAAAAGAAAGGGATAAATCTTTATTTTCTCTTTTTCGGTTGAATTAATCTTATTTTTATTAACAAAACGAAAAAGAAACTCGGAATAGCTCAGTAGTTTCTTTACATAGTAGAGATAAAATGCGAGGGTTTCCGAATATACACGATAAACGCAAAACACGATACACGATAGAACCTGATAAACGATCTACACGATAAACGCAAAACACGATAAACGGAAAACACGATAGAACACGCAAAACCTGATAGACGGAAAACACGATACGATAGGATACGATAGGATACACGCACGATACGATAGGATACACGCACGATACGATATGATACACGCACGATAGAACACGATAGAATTGTAAAGAATAACGATGCGGGTACTGTAGTACTTGAGGCATGATTTCATTATGACGATTTAACAAACTATTGATGTGTTGATCAAGTTGCTCCCATTTCAGTCCCCCTGATCCAGACCAGGTTACATCTATCTTAAGATGCTCCAGAGACAAGTTTTGGCCAATTGTTGAACGTGTGCATTAATCTTCGGCTCGTCTGATAATGGAAGATCCAACAATCCATACTTTGCAATGAGTTCCTGCAAACTTAGCTTACAGTTAGTAAGAGTGACTCTCTACAAGACTACATTAATTGGGCGAACATAAGACTTGAAAGCGTTGGATTTCCATCTACCCATGGTTTAAATTTCTTGCTCTGGAATACCTTGCATATATAATGAAGTTGCAGCCCCTATGCGAAATGAATGAGATTTGAATGTTGATATATCAAGCTTGAGGAATGATAGAGCTTTCTTTATTACTGATTGAATGATAGTAGGTCAAGGGTGATCCATCCATGTGGCATAAGAACTGTGATGTTTGAGTTTGTGATGGTCTATGGGTAATGAATTCTAGTATGTTGTGGAATAGGACCTGATTGTGTTTTGTGCTATTAATTTGCATTGTTGTGCCCTTGCCATGCTGATCTGTTTTTGTTTTCCCTAATGTGATCTGAATGCATGACTGAGATATTTATACATTTTCTATTGACAATGGGGAATTGCAGGTGTTTGCCCTAGTGGTAGTTATCTCACCGACTCGAAGTAAAGCAAAGAATGCTAGGCCATATGCAGCAGAGTAGAGTAATTTTTCATAATAATTGCGGCAAACATGTTGCAAGAAGTCTATTATCTTGACTAATAGGGGAAATGTTATTGGACTTCTTGAATCTTTCCTATGTTTAAGTTGTTTAAAACCACTGAGCATTTTTTTTTATTATGAAAAATTGGCATTGGTCTGGGAAATTACCAAGTTTTATGTTGAAGCTCAAGCCTGTTAGGTAGGTTTTGGCTGTAGAGTATGATGTTCTCTTTGACGATAGGTAAGCGATATAGTTTATTATTTGAGCCGGCCCATGCAAAAAGGGCCCTTAAGGTCATTTTTATCAAAATTTGGTTTTTGGGTGATTTTAATAGTACTTCTTCGTAAATACAAAATTCCAAAGTTTTGAATCAGAAATTCCAAAAAATGTATGAATTATGAACAAATTTATTAACTCTTAAAATGACAACTTTGACGTTGACTTCATAGTGACGTCGCAGAAAAAGTGACGTCGAGGGACCTCCAAGCGTCACTCTTCGTTTAACAATGGGGGGCATGTAACATCCCTGAACTCTGGTCTGACATATGACCTGATATGTTTAAACAAATATGACTGCCTTTCTCTGCTTAAACCTCCCGGTAATATTTTCTGTGGAAAATCCCCAGGCGCATCTTTATCTGTTAAGGCAACAGGGACCTCTTGGCTTTCTACATCTGTTTTGCAAAAGACAACTCCTGGTTGTAAAGCTGAAATCCGAAAATGATGGAATTATCTTATTCCTGTTATTGGTTTGAAGTGATTTTTTACAAACTCCTTCCAGTTGTAATAAGCCAGGTTCCTGTCCTGTACGATTACAGCTTTATTGCCATGAGAAGATTTGTTAACTACTTCAGCGAGATGCTCTATTGTGTCACAATCTGCCCTAAAATGGTTTGAAAATATGTCATGATTCATATAACGCATGTAGTCTATATTAAAATAATAATAATGATAATAATGCATCTAATCTATATTCAAAAAAACTTTTTTTTAAACTAAGTAAATCAAATTACCTTCGATATTTCTTTTTGATCTGCGCAAAGCCTGCATCAACTTGGCATTTGGTGTGTCCAGGAACTTGCATGTTTAACTCAATGGCCCAGTGTAGTCCAACCATGACTCGCCACAGCAAATATCCTATGGTGTATCTGTTTTTGTTCTGTCCTGAAATAAATCAAATTTGTGTCAATTCTTTCAAAGTTAGTGGAATTTATTTCTTAATAGTTCTACTGGAATGTAAATCTCGTTCGGCTCTCTCTGCTTGAAGTCAATTGTCGAGGACTATTTAAATTGGCATGGAAGTCCTCGTGTACATTAAATATATTATTCTACATCTTTAGAATCTCAATCTACACTTTTATTACTATCAATGATGCACTGGCATACTATACTAACTACGACAGTGATTCCTTTAGTAATTTCACACAGATGTTTGGAAAAATAATAGAAGAATACACATAAAATTTAGGTGTAAGGGAATAAACCTCCGCAATTGTCACAATGTAGTACCGCAGATTTCTCTCCAAACCCGAACTCCTGAAAATGATGGTGGAGGATACTCAAAACGGTATTTGGTCCATGTGTACTCTTGCCATCTTTCCCTATTGTCTGGTCCTCATCAAGGAGGTAGTTGTACTGGGTACTGGATCCTTCCATACAAATTCCAAATATTTGTATTTTTCTTGGTGTTTCAAAGAAAAGAGGTCCAACTTGCCTAGAATGGTGTGGAACAGTTACATTTTGAGCGAAATCAAACGTGTAATGAGACTTTACATATTCCGTGGAACAAGCTACACGTGGAGCATTTTCTAGGAATAAATTCCGGTGTTCTATCCTTGCTTCTTCGATGCATTTAATGTAATGCTTATGTTCTCTTTCTACTTTATTGAGATGCTCTGTGAATAGCCGTGTGGCATCCAGCTTTTCATTTTCAGTGTGTGCATACATTATTTTAACTCTATGATTATCGCATGTACTACAAACATCTGTCCTCGGTGTAGCAATCTGGATGCTGGGCAGGCACGTAGACCATATAGCATAAAAAGAGGACAACTTCACACATCGTATATCTGAAGTGCTGCATGCTTCAGAATAACTTGCGTGGAGATCCTTCTTGGTAAGAGAGCAAGGTAAGAAAATCGGTGGATCAGTATCCCTACCTCTCGGAGCTGCTGGCATTGGAAGGCCGTGTTCCTCGGCATATCTCTGAATAAAGCTTACAACATACTGTGTATCGTCATATTTCAGGGCATTGTGCGGTGTTTTCCCAGTATTCCCGTGTATCCGTGGCCTAATGCCGTTGGTTTTCATGTGTCTTACTAAGTTTTTGAGGTATTTTTCCCCAATGGCATGAATGAAAAGAAATGCGTCTTTACAAATCTCTCTGTCATCAAAGTTGTAATGATATCTTTGTCTTTTGATTTGTTTACCAGAATCATCCCAGGTACCACTACATTTCAGCTTCCCCATAAGATACATATCTCTCTCCTCATTTGAAAGTTCTTTCATGCAACATATATGCCCCAAAATCTCCTCAAAACTTAAGTTTGAAATACATTTCATTTGACAATGACAACCATCATTGACCTTTTCTCTAACTATTTGCCCCAAATCAGACATTGAAACATCTTCAGGCTTGCTTTCTGTCGTATTAGTTTGGCAGGCATAAAGCTGACATCTGTCATGAATATCATTTTTGTTCATATCATCACTCTCACTGTCAGATGAATATTCCTCACCATCTGAACTATCACGGTCAAGCAAACTTGTTTGTGCAGCAGGGAAATATTCCCTGTGAAGCTCATCAATAATCTGTTGAAAAATATTGATATTGTTGAAATTAAAATGAGAGTGAGATAGAGAAACAGTATATGTATGTTTACAAAATACCCTCCCTAATTTTAATTGGTTTAGAATTTTGCCCCCCCCCCCAAAAAAAAAAAACGGGACAGGGAAATATTATGTCTATTTGAAAAATAAACTATTTGGCTATTTATCTGAAACAATTTAATCAAAAGCAATGGCTATCTAGATGTAGATATATATATTAAATATTAGTATATGGATTGTATGCAGTAGAACCCGAAATAAATATTGATACTACTTGCAATTTTATTTGCCGATAGGCCTAAATTCAAGGTCAGAATTTATAATGCAATTTTGTTGTGTATTTTTAAGTAATTTTTACAGTTCTAAAATACACCTCTTATTCAAAATATTTTTCTACCTAAGAATTAGAATCTTTCCGTGATTTAGTTTCCACTTTCGTAGGTCAAAATAAAAAAAAATCAAATAGCGTCTCTCATTTTTTTTTCTTTTCTTTTCATTTTATGCGTTAAAGAACGTGGGCGCCTTTGATGGGCATTCGGCAGGAATCTGGGCGTACTTGAAAAGTGAAAATTTTATCCACATGTCACATGAAATTTTAACATTTTTTTTTATTTATCGGGTTCCTGTGCAACAGGAAAGGAAAATATTTTCCTGACATTGAGCTCTGATTAGCTAAAAAAATAACTTGGAAATTGGCCAGATCAGACATTTGGTACAAAAAGATACATTTTTAGACACGTTTTTCTATAAATTTTCTATCTCTGGGTCTTTCCTCCATGATTTTGAAACGTTATTCGTGTGTATTTAAATTCAAAGAAACGAATACACTTGTTTAAAAAATGGAGAGAAGACCCAGAGACCACGAAAAATTAACTTTTCCCAAAAAATTCCAAATGTGTGAATTTGGTGCTTCTTTGTCCTTTTAGAATTATCGGTGTACGTGTAGCGATGATAGCTCAGTATGTTGGGTTACCTGTTCACTGCACACGAAGCGAAAAGTTTTTGGTTCGAGCCTGGCATGGGGCGTTAATTTTTTTTTCATGCAAACAACCATTTATTTTGTCAGTTTCATTTTATGTACTTGTGTATTAAAATTTTGAATTAGATAAATTTTAGTTTAATTTGGTTCTCGAGAGATATAATGTTCTATTCTAAAATGTACATGTTTCATGCATCTATGCATTAAATATTTTAGGTGTTTATTTTTTGTGAAACATTTTAAATATGTTACAGTACCCCCAGGAAAAACGGACATAAATGTTACAATTGCACACGGTCTTTCAAACTAAATGAAAAAAAAACCTATGGACGAGCTTGAAAAATCTAACCAGCTATGTTCAGGTGGCAGAGGATAGTTTCGAATAAAGTACCGGTCAAATTTATTTAAAAAATGAGATACCCTGTGTTTGACATATTATTACTAGTAGTAAAATTATTATAATAATTTTAGGTAACATTCCCAGTGTAGCAGAGAGGTTTTGAAAAAAAAATGATATGCAGCATGCAACTATCACTGTAATGCCTAGCTTGTATGGAGTGTAAATGCGAAACCAACACATGCTGACTGTTTTTGAGGAAATTCTGTCTTACAGCCACATGGTCTAAAGTTGTGTGGATATCTCAGAAAGTAGGTGGTTGACCCCTTATCTCACATTGCTTTTACAGTTAGACAGGTAATGTTTATGCAAATGCACGGTGGCTCGTGTGCACAGTACGGGCCTGCTATATGTTGTGGGAATCCGAAGTCGGCTAAAATCATGAAAACAATAGGTAATGTGGAGGGGGTTAAGCAGGTCATGTTTAGTGCATATGTACTAGAGTAGACAACTTACATGTAATTTATATGCATAATTTTAGTGCAATATGCATATGAAGATTATTCATGTAGATGACACAAAAAACTTATTTACATCTATTATGTAATGGCCCGGCACACAGGTATACCCCCTCGGCACATGTTTTGGTACCAAAAAAACTATCCTCTGCCACCTTCAAGAAAACTTGATTTTTTCAAAGCCCTCAATTTAATGTTTACACATAAGAAACTTGAAATGCAATGTGTTAAGAATAATATTTCAACTTCTTCATCATATTTACTTTCTAATTGGGTCACAGAAGATGTCAACAAGACAAGGGGGGTAATTCATACTAAAATTCAGTTTTGGAATATAAAACTTGCATATATGGCAAATTGTCTTTGCAGTTAAAATATGGTAACCGATACTTTGTTCATGAATTTATTACTCTTACCGGTCAACATTATGAGTATTTCAGAATTGTCGCTCATGTAACTATTACATAATTATTCATTTTCAGATCATATACAGGCAAAATAGACATTGTAGGTCTCACCACACTGACTATGTCTAAAATTTATGAAACCTCACTGACTGATCAGGAAATAGTTTTTTTTAAGGCTGCTCTAAGTAAAAAAGTTGTCAAAACTTCATTTTGTCATAAATGGACAGGTGCTATCAATAAAGATGGGTATGGCGTATATCGCCCACTACTTAGGGGGAAACAGATTAAGACTACTGCGCATAGACTTTATTATTATTTACATAATTCAGAAACATTTATAACCGACATGCATATTTCTCATTTGTGTCACAATAAACTTTGCATTAATTTAAATCATTTGACTATGGAACCACAGTCTGTGAATAATGCAAGGAGGACATGTTCTTTGGAGGGTCAATGTGTTGGTCATGGTGGTGTAAACAAGCAATGTTTATTTCAATGAGGTAACACGTTAAGTCCATACGAGTGTTCGTTTGATGTTGTGGGATGGGCAGTATTGTACAGGGACATCGCTCGCAGTTTTTTACTCGTTTTCTTTTTCCTCGACAAATATCTTGCAGTTCTGTACCGAGAACTCTGTTTACGCAATTTATGGTAGGCACTGTGTGAGTCTCTTTGCATCATTGTCTTATGGAATGGTTCACTTTTTTTCCATTTCAGTCCCACTTTTCCTGCAAGGATTACTGCAGACTTACCACTTTCATGTGAAGATGAGTGGACAGCAGAATGGCACATAGCAGTGAAATTCCTGGCCCATGTGGTGTTCTTTGGTGCATAGGTAAAGACACGCTGATGCAGGTTTTCACACTTGTTGGTTGTCGAAAGACGACACACTTTACGTAACCCCTCTCCCCGAAACTGCTTGCAAATAACTGATTGAATACTGTCCATATCAGCAAAATCAAGATCCAAGTGTTTCCCAAAGGGCAGAAATTTTGTAGTGTAGCTAGGGAGATGGGCTGTGCAGGTGAAAGACATCTTCCTGCAATTGTCGTGCATGCCCGAGAAGCAAGGAAGTACATTCACAACTGCACTCTCTGCATGTCGCATGAAAGCATCATCTGATTTAAACAATTTACGTATTTTTACCAACTCGTATCTTATTCGAGCACGTACGCATGTTGCTAGTCTTTGAATGTAGGCATCTTTTTCTTGCCCCGCAGGCAGCTGAGTTCTGAGTTTAATGTTGCGAATGTTTTTCTGAAGAGTCCTCAGCTTATGTATGAAACATTGGTAGTGCTTAATGTCCACTTCATGTTCACGTGAGTAGTCTTGCAGAGTTTTGCCTATCTGTGCAGAGGCATCACTTGTCACAGACCGAGGAGTTAAAATATTCTGCTTGCGTATAAAGTCCAAATTCTTTTTTAACAGTTTCGACTCGCTTGATGAAATAGAGTCCTCGGTGTTATAGTTCTTTTTGCATGCTTCATGATTTTGACAATTTCTTTTGCAACACAATTTATTTGCTGTTTTAAGTGATAACACTAATCTTCTAGGTGTGCTGCTCTCAACCACTGGGCAGAAACTTTGGGTTGCAGCCTCAAATCCTGCTTGTGGTCGGTTGTTATACGAGGTGTCAGTTTCCAGGTCTACCTCATCACTTTGACCGAGAAGTTGATTTACCCGTTGCACGTAATGTTGATTATCGATCATAGAATCCTCATTTATTTCCTCAATACGATCACACATTTGGTTTAATTTACGCTGTAACCCTCGTCTGTCTGGTGGTTTGATATTCAGACAGCACATCATGAGTATGGCATCTGCCACCCCAATTTTTGATTTCATCATGCCTAGGACTAATCCGTCATTTAAGGAACCAGATTCTGGTCCCCTCTTTTTCTTAAAAGTGGTGTAGAGTTGAATTTCACTAGATTTAAAATGGCAATGAGAGCACTCTGCTCTGCCAGAAACACATAGCCCTAATCTCTTTGTAATCACAAAAGTCATGAAAGGTGTTATGCATTGATGAGCACTTGAATTCTGTAATAATCTGCTAATTGACTGTATATTCACTACAATGTTTTCCTCACTGACACATTTTTCATCCTTAATTTTGGTTTTTGTAGGCTTAACAGGTCTTAGTTTGGTGGGGAGAGTGTCGTCACTTGTCATCATACACACTGCATCACAGTATTCATCATAACTGGGACGGCGGATAACTCCTTCGGAACAAGTTACAGGTACGCATGCACTTGCCTCATCTGCTCTTGTAATTTTTGAGTCTTGATGGGGAGGAATGTAGTTATGTCCTATCTTAAAGTAGGTCTTCTTTCTTCGTGCTCGGTTCCTTTTGTAGCTACAAGTCTTCATTGTAAAGATTGTAATTATCAAATGGAGTAAAGACTGCTTAAGAGACCAGTGTTTTGGGGTTATGGGCATGCTAGGTGATTATTTGCTTTATAAATGATATATGCAGATAAAAGCTGCATCAGATTCAGAGGTTAGGACCCTTGCCTGTCCTTTTCAAAACACATTTTCTCAAATCAAGTGATTAGGAGATAAGCTATTTCAGTTCTACTGCCTACACTGTGTCTGATGTTTGTTGAAATTACCTCCCTTTGACCTATGGCCTTTGGATCAACATCTTTTGTATCCATCATTAAGAGTAAATTGACAGGACATTTAGCAGTGTAGTTGTTTAGATAATCTTGTCAGAGACTTTCTTTACTAATTGGAACATAACTCATGTCATTTTATGAAAAATCTAGAACTTTAGAGAGGAAGAGTGAGCAAATTCTTGGTATTTTTTCCCAGTTTTCTTCATTTTCTTTACAGTCTTCTCCCTTTCTCCAAAGTTTTTATGAAAGTTGTCTTTGCATTAAGTCATACAACAATTCAGGTTAATTATAACATAAAGAATAGACACATGTACTATTGATTCTTATGTAACTAGCTCAAATGTATACCTTACCTTACACTAAAAATGAGTACATTTCACACACAAAATAGGTGTTTTGAAGATTCTTTATTTTGAACACATTTCAGGTGATAGATCATTAGTGAAAGTCAACTTTTACTCAGAATTACATGTATTTTTCAAAACCAGGTGATAAAGTCTACATTAAAGAGTTCACTAAAAGTTAAAGGTGGCAGAGGATAGTTTCGAATAAAGTACCGGTCAAATTTATTTAAAAAATGAGATACCCTGTGTTTGACAT